AATAATACTACCATTTTTGTAGCTTCTAGGTCAGAAAAACATAGTAAGTTACATTAATGCTGCCCTGTATAGCTAGAATTATCAAGTCCTTGAGGTACTTCTATTAGCATTTCCTGAATAATAATTTCATAAAGTACTTTTAAAATCATTTGAATAAAAATTACCCTTAAAATAACCACACATAGCAATATGCTCTTTTGATGAATCATATCCTTTGTTGACTCTTCTTATGGACAGTTGAAATAGTTTATCAATTAAAACAGTAGACAAACAGTTTCCTCACTGATGAGATGAAGAGGCATTACATTAAACTGTAGAATGATGACTAAAGAAGGTGTGGGGGTTAGGTAGGGGCCACCTACTCCTCAGGGACTCTTTGGAGCTACCTGAATAAGATTTTAAAACTGTTGCTTATTTATAAAATTTACACATATTCAGCAGATAGATATTTATTTGAATCTTATTTCCCATGAATCAATCTGTTAAAGATCAGGAATGGTATGTTCCAGTCTCTACCACAAATGCATTTCTGTGACCTTTCTGAACTACCCAAAGTTTTTTTGTTATGTTGAATGCTCTGGGATTTATATTTATTTTCAATATAGGCAACATCATTCAGTAATATAAAATCACTGTCTTTATTCCATTTAAAAGCTTTTCTCTTTAAATTCTCTTTTCACTGAAACTAATGTTGTTAACATTAGCATTTGGGGCTGTCTGATATACCTCTGACTGTTCTTTTACCTTTAAAAATAAACTAGTCTTTATAGGGTATGCATGTACTAATACGTAACAACAAATCCCAGCATTATATACAGCTATAATGCACCAATAAAAATATGGAAAAAAAATCTAGTCAAATGATTTACAATCCTATATACTACATCTACATGGACATAGGTGTATATATTTATATAAAACTGTGTGTGTGTGTGTGTGTGTGTGTATATATATATATATATATATATAAACTACATACATCTTCCTAGTCTTTCTACTTTCTTTTTTTTGGGGGATGGGGGTACCAGCGATTGAACTCAGGGGCACTCCACCACTGAGTCACATCCCCTTCCCTATTTTATATTTTATTTAGAGATTTAGAGACAGGGTTTCACTGAGTTGCTTAGCACCTCACTTTTGCAGAGGCTGGTTTTGAACTCGCGATCCTCCTGCCTCAGCCTCCCAAGCCACTGGGATTACAGGCATGCACCACTGTGCCTGGCTCTTTCTTATTTCTTTCTCTTTCTTCTTTCTCTTGTTTCTTTCCAGTGCTAGGAATTGAACCAAGGGTCTTACAAATGCTGAGCAAGTACTCTAGTATTGAGCTACAACCTCAACCCTGTCTTAATTTCTTAATGCCACACACATTTAAATTATTAATATTTTTTGAGTTTCAGTTTTTAAATCAACCTTTTAACTTTTTGATATTTGTAAATGTTTATCTAAACTGGAATTAGTGTTTTTTTGTGTGTGTGTTATTCTTATTTAAGGTATATTTGGACTCTTTGATTTTAAAAGCATTTTATTTTCCTTTCCTTCATAATTAATAAATATCATCACAGGTAGAAATAGGGACTAAAAGAAAGAAGACACTTGAAAAATAGAAGAAGATAGAGAACTTTCATAGCCATTTACTCCTCCTATCTCTTTGATGTATTTTCTAGTTCATTTACCTGTTAAAATTTCATAAGCTTGGGACGGAAAATCCCTAAGGATCACAACCCCATAATACTTGAGGCACAGTTGAACAATGTGCCGAGTTTCTCTTATCATTCAAGCTTGTTTTAAAAACTGATAGCCATTTCATTTCAGGTTAAGCAAATTCAAATAGCCATCAAGAATATTACTCAATATTAAGGTTATTAAAAAAAAAACTTTTAGGTCTGGTACAGTGACACATGACTATAATCCCACTTACTTGGGATGCTGAGGCAGGAGGACTGCAAATTTGAAGCCAGTCTCAGCAACTTAGAGACCCTGTCTCAAAATTAAAAATAAAATAAAATAAGAAAGAGTTGGGGATATAACTCAGTGATAGAGCTCCCCTGGGTTTATTAAAAAAAAAAAAAAAGCTGCCTTAAATTTTATTTCCACCTTTCTGCTTTCTTTCCAGATTAAAGTATGAAGCCACTGACTTAACATAAATAGACACAGGATTTTCTGCACCCTAACCTGTTTAAAGACCACTTTCTCTAGTAAGTTATAATTCTTGCTCTCTAATACTTATAATCAATTTGAAGACAGGAGTGAAGGCACAGTTTACTTAAGTTTTTAAAGTGCCCACTGTTTACATACCCTCTGCGAACTCAGTAGCTAGATAATTTACTTTGCCAATGGTAAACCTGAGTTTCTCAGGTTCCTCCATAAGCAGAGTAGCAGCATCTTAGGTAGAAATGTTCTGTGAATGACAATACTTCTCCCTTTTTTTCTAAGCTTCTGGTTTACACAGTCCATTTACTTGATTAAAATTTTAAAAATTAAATAACAAAACATTACCAACGTCAGAGCACACCTGCCTCATTTAGGAGGGGAATAGGTATAATAAGGGGTAGCTGGAAGAGAGCTGTATTTTTATTTATTATTATGATTATCATTTTCCAGCTTATACTTCTCAGTCCTTCAAAGACACTAAAAATGACTCTGAACATTTTTTAATTTTTATTTGATAATCTGAGAGGCTCTTCAAAGATCATATTTATGTATCTCTACTAAAGATATACCCAAGTGTTAAGAAATTTGGTGCTGGAGGCCAATGAACAAGGTAGGAATTAATTAGCTATCTTGATGATGAACTAGCAAGGTAAAAGGAAGTAAAAGTAAGACATTTTTCATATTTCATGTCACATAATACTTAATAGTAATGAAGTACATTAGGAGTGAAACACAAAGGCAGGCACACACATATCAGCTGAAAACTATAGCAAATAAGCCATTCGGTTTTCTGTATGCTTGCTCAATGTTTTGGGACAAAACTGGAGTCCCAAGTTAGATTTTATGTCTATAAAAGTTTTTCTCTCTTAATTTAAATAAACTAATGAAACATCAACAACAACAACAAAAAGAACCCAAAGTAGGCATGGTTGGTAGGTCTATACCATTTTCATACATTCTAGAGAAGATAGTAAATAGTTTTTGTGACTCCAAGTGATACTTAGAGGAAAATCAAATCATTCAATGATGCCAAGAATGATTATTCTACTGCACTTTAAAAGCAAGAGATTGCAGTCTGTGACTCCAAAGTGGTTTCAGATGGACTGCCACAGTTGTGGTTTACTCTTGAAAATGTAACTTGTCAAATTAGAAGCAGGCAAGGCCTCTGCTCTTAACAGTTCCACTTTCTACTGTCTATAGTTATGTCTACAAGTCCATCACATTTTATTCAGATGCACTCTGTTATATGGATGAGCAGAATATCAAAACTATTTTTTATTGTCTGAGTTACAGAAGATTTTAGTTTTAAGAACTTAAGCTGTTAATCTCTTGCTTATTGTATAGATGAAGCAGAATTCCACTATTTTTATTAACTATTGATGTTTTATTATCCAATATAACATAGGGAAGTGGTATACAGACTATGTAAGTGCTCAAGATTTTTCTAATCTTAGATTCCAAATATTTTATTGATTTTAACTAGTAACCTTACTGACTTGATTTTCCAAGCATGAGCTCAGAGTTACAAAATGCTCCATTTCTTCTCTTCCTCATTGATTGTGGAATCCCCTTCTGGGCAACAAGCTTGGTTAGCTAAAATTTTCACATCAAACTTGAAAAGCTACTTGTTCAATTTTAATTGTTTTATGTAGACCCTTTCCTTAATGACTTTTAATGGCTATTTTTATAATATAAAATATTTTAAAAATAAAGCTTAAACAAGATTTTCTCTCTACATAATACATCATAAACAAAACCATGCCACTAAACAATCATATCCTGTTTAGGTCATAATGACACCAGAAATGCATGTTTATCATCTGTTTTGGACAACTTAGCATGTTTTTGGCCCAAGGCAAAGTTGAACTAAAACCATTTGCAGTTGCCCCAAACCAAGATAACCACACATTTCTAAAGTAATTGATACCTAAAAGAACATTGCCTTTAGATCACAGTTCATGATCTAAGCATACTAATTCCTTAAAGAAGGTTGTTACAGTACTTAAAGCATTATGTCTATTGGACTTCCTCCAGAATTTAACATGAAATAATATATTTTTAGCATGTATAGATAAAGTGTATGATAATGTAGGCATTTAGCAACATCTTTTGGAATTCTGGAATTACCTCTCTTGCCCAATTTAAAGAAAAGAGAAAAACTGGGATGTCTTACATGTAAAAGTATTATAATAAGAATATAAGACCACTGCCTTGCAGTTTGGAAGGCATGCAGACAAAATTATTACTCTTAATTTTATTGAAGTATATTTAAAGAACCAATTTTATTTATAGATAGCTAAAATAAGTAGAAGACATATGTTTTCTTCTTCATTGTTACAATAAATCTATGGAATCCAAATATATGTCACTAACTTTGTGTTACAGTGATATAAAACATGCAATTGCTTTAGATACTATCTTAACTGATGAGGCTGATCACAGCCTATAAGAAACAGTCTAAAAAACATCTCTGCACTGTACAGGCCAAAACAAAAGCAGTAAAAATTACCTCTGCCCCAAATACAACTAGATAATTTATAACAAAAAATAAGTAAATGATTAATTATATACAAGTTTTAATGAAATAAAACCCAGCAAATGTCAGATCCAGATTAGGGAAACCTACTCACTTTTAAAGAAACAGAGAAACACTAAGCTATTTCCTGAACTCAACTGAAAAGGCAATGTCTGAATCTTTCTCCAGACCTTACTCCTCCGTATACTGCTGCCATGAGACATAAAACAATTGATTTGGGGATTTCAGAAAACAGTTGAAGAATACAAGAACCAAATATACAAGCACCATGATGATTGTTACATTACTGTAAAAAGAGAAGCATGTACTATACCTCCATTCTTTCTTGTTTAACTTCATCAATTTCATCATCTTCAAACATTGCCAGAAGTTCTCCTGTCTGGTCAATAGAGTTGAGAAAGTCCTGAGCAATTTTTTGTCTTTTGTTTGTGTTACTGTTGCCACCTAGTTTATCTTCATGAATATCACAGAAGAAAGAAAAATAGTCTCAGTAAGTTTGTCTGCATCAACCATTGCATTTATTAAATACATGAAATTCAGAATTGGAATTCTCTCACAATTATCTTTGAAAGGAGAATTCTTGTATCCAAAATAAATGTGGAAGTCATATAGAATTAAATCATCTATATACATCACAATCAGATCAAAAGAATAAAATTAAGTTATTAATTACTATAGTAAGTGTGAAAGGGTTATATAATTACTTTTTAAAGATTCAGAAAAAAATACGGTTATATACTATTTATAGTAGATACTTGTGAAACAAATAATAGAAAAAAGTGAAAAGTAAGAATATATGAGGTAAACACAGTCACTAGTAACATTTTGTTACAAAATGTAGTCATGACCAAGAGCACTAAATGAGGTAGAGTAGGATAGCATCTGATAATAAAAGGAGAATTAACATAAATTTTTATGCAACAAAGATAAGAGCAAAATAAATAACAAATGAATAACAAAAGGAAAACTTATTAAAAAGCATAATTATGAGATATTTGAACAATTTGACAAGGTAAAGTTCATGGATCAAATGTGTTTTAATAGCTATATAGATATGAGAATTCACTTTATTCTCTTAGGTCCATAAATCATTTTTCTTCACTTTTATTATTTTTGTTAAAAACTTTATTTTCAAAAGTTTTCATAAATATCCATAAGTGAAATGTTGCCTCTTCAAGTGGTTTTTCTTTAATTCAATGTCCCCACTTTCTTCCCTTTTATCAGCCAATCTCAAATTCCAGATAGATATGACCCACATTAACCATCCAGTTTGCACCCATCCATGTTTTTCCCTGCTCCTACACTCATATAAACACATTCATTTACAGGCCTTTTATTTACGTTTTCTTTTTAGAAAAGGGTTCTGTTCATGTTTCTTAGTTGATGGGAGAGAAAAACTCCCTCCCAGCCTACTGGTATAGCTCAGATTCCTTTAAAAGGTCTGCACCATATTTTATGGTATATATACACCAAAGCTTTTCAACCAATCCTGTTGACAGGCACACATTTTGATTTCGATTTTTGCCATGGGAAAAGTAAAATTTACTTTCCCTAATTACCAATCAATTTATTTACTTCCTCATTTTTCTCAGTTATCTGATTAAGCCTTTATATTTTCTCTCTCTCTTTTTTTTTTTTTTTTTTTTTTTGTGGTGCTGGGAATTGAACCCAGGGCCTTTTGTATGAAGCTTTATCCCCAGCCCCTATTTACTCTCTATTTTTAATCAATGTTAACTTTCAACTGTTTTGGTCTTTTTCTTGCTAATTTAAAAGGGCTCATTTATATTTTCCTTTTACAATGTGAGTGAGTGAAAAATAGCCCTTCATTTTTCTATGGATCCGGGGGCATCTTTGGCAATAGAAGAGTTTTAACATTTTTACATGGTCACATATCGTCTTTTATTTAAGATGACTTTTCTCCACACCTACATACTGTATATGTAACGTTCTAAGTTTTCTTTTCAGATTTTAAGTCTTGTTTTTTCTGATTTTCATCTTTAATCCATCTATAATCTATTGGTGTATGGTAATATTGTAGGTTCACCTTTATTTTCTCCCTAGCAGTCAGTATCACTGGTACAGTACCATTAATATACATTTTTATATTTTAGAAAACTTTTGCCACATCTTATAATTCTTATATATCTTAGATTCTTTTACTCTGTTTCTCTCATCTTTATGTTTAGTCTTCAGTGACACCACAGGCTTCGTATACATTTTTTAAAATATCTTTTAATATATATAGATTTTTAGTTGTAGATGGACACAATACATTTATTTTATTTATTTATTTTTATGTGGTGCTGAGATCGAACCCAGTGCCTCACATCTGCTAGGCAAACACTCTACCACTGAGCTTCAACTGCAACCCTTTATATACACTCTTATTCTTCTACTTTATGCGATCTCTAGCTACATAGGAACATTTATTTCTCCCATAGAAACCTAAGCATATTTTTACAAAATTCTAGGAAAAAACTTTTTAAAACTTAATTTAGGATAAACTGACATATTTAATGCCCTTCAATTACATTTTCCTTTCTTGTTGTGTTTGTTCCTAATTTTATTAGTTTTGATAGTCAAATTTGACAAGTTTCCCCCTATTTCAACACTTGGGATTGCTCTCATTAAATCCTACAGATGGTTGTACAAAACATTTTGCTATTCATTGCTTTTTAAAATACTTGTCTTCGTTCTAATATTACTTAGGAATACATTTCTTAATTTCTAAGTAGTTAAGATATTGGGATTTTCTTATTTTTTAGAATTGTATTGAATTAATGTCAGTGAATTGATTCCTATCAAAGATCTACTCTTAATTTGTAAAGGTAATCTTTGTGGTCAATTGGCAAAGAATTTCTGTAAATATTCTGTGAACATTTTGGAAAAAATAATGCAGACATTCCAGGGTAATAAAAGTTATAAGTGTATCTATTATGTTTTTAATTTGTTCTTTTTAGATAAACATAATAGTAGAGCATATTTTGACATATTATACATACATGCAGTATAACTTCCCATTCTTGTGGTTGTACATAATGTAGAGTTACATTGCTCTTATGCATATGTGAACATTGGAAAGTTATATCCAATTCATTCTACCATCTTTCCTATTGCCATTCTCCCTCCCTTCCCTTCATTCCCCTTTGTCTAATCCAATGAATTTCTTTTCTTCACCTGCCCCCTTATCGTGTGTTAGCATCTGCATATTAGAGAACATTCTACCTTTGGTTTTTTTGGCATTGGCTTATTTCACACAGCATGATAGTCTCAAGTACCACCCATTTACCAGCAAATGCCATAATTTCATTGTTCTTTATGGCTGAATATTATTTCCTTGTGTATAGGCACTACATTATCTTTATCCATTCATCTGTTGAAGGGCACCAAGATTGGTTCCATAGCTTAGTGAACTGAGCTGCTATAAACATTGATGTGGCTATGTCACTATGATATGCTGATTTTAAATCCTTCGGGTATACCAAGGAGTGGGATAACTGGGTGAGTGAGTGAGTTCCATTTGTGAGTTGGTGGTTCCATTCCAAGTTTTCTGAGGAATCTCCATACTGCTTTGCAGAGTGGTGGCACCAATTTGCAGTCCCACCAGTGATGTATGAGTGAGCCTTTTCCCCCACATCCTTGCCACCATATATTGTTACTTGTGTTCTTGAAACTTGCCATTCTGACTAGAGTTGAGATAGAATCTCAGAGCGGTTTTAATTTGCAGTTCTCTAATTGCTAGTGATGTGGAACATTTTTTCATATATTTGTTGACCAGTCATATTTCTTCTTCTGTGAAGTGCCTGTGCAGTTCCTTTGCCCATTTATTGATTGGGTTATTCGTGATTGGTTGGTTTGTTTTCTGGTGCTAAGTTTTTTGAGTTCTTTATATATCCTGGAGATTAATGCTCTATCTGAGGTGCAGGTGGCAAAGATTTTCTCCCATTCTGTATGCTCTCTCTTCACCTTCTTGATTGTTTCCTTTGCTGGAAGAAACTTTTTAGTTTGATACCATCCCATTTATTGATTCTTGATTTTACTTCTTGTGCTTTAGGAGTCTTGTTGAGGAATTTGGTTCTTAAGCCAACATGATGGAGAGTTCGGCCTACTTTTTCTTCCAGTAGGTACAAGGTCTCTGGACTAATGGTCCTTGATCCACTTTCAGTTGAATTTTGCATGGGGTGAGAGATAGGAGTTTAATTTCATTTTGATACATATGGGTTTCCGGTTTTCCCAGCACCATTTGTTGAAGAGGCTATCTTTTCTCAAATGTTTATTTATGGCCCTTTGTCTATGGCCCCTTTGTCTAGTATGAAATCACTGTATGTGGGTTGTCTCTGTGTCTTCTCTTCTGTACCACTGGGTTTCACGTCTGTTTTGGTGCCAATACCATGCTGTTTTTGTAACTACAGCTCTGTAGCATAATTTAAGGTCTGGTATTGTGGTGTCTCCTGCTTCACTTTTCTTGCTAATGATTACTTTGGCTATCCTGGGCCTCTTATTTTTCAAAATGAATTTCATGACTGATTTTTCTATTACTATGAATACCATCATTGGAATTTTGATAGGAATTGCATTAAATCTTTACAGAGCTTTTGGCCATTTTGACAAAATTAATTATGCCTATCCAAGAATCTGGGAGATATTTTCAACTTCTAAGGTGTTCTTCAGTTCCTTTGTTTAGTTTTCTGTAGTTTTCATTGTAGAGGTCAATTTAACAAGGTAGGTAAGCATATGTTGATAGTTTGCTAATTTATTGTTAAGGTCTACTATTCCAAAATTTCTGTCTTCTACAATTATAATATTCTCCTTATCCTTTTGGAGCTTTTAATATTTAATTTTACCTTGCATGTTAATATTGTCCCTCCTGCTAATATTTGTTCATTTCATTATTTACAACTTTGAGCTTCCCATTTTTTTGCTGTTGTTTGCAATTTGTCTTGTAATTGAAGAATTCAATCCATTTACATTTAATGTGATGACCAATGCACAACTGATTTTTATTATTTTCTCTTACTTCATGTTTAGCATTTATCTTACATTTTTTCTCCTTTTCCTTTATTTTTACTGGTTTGGTTATGTTGCTAATCCTTCCATTTTCTTATGTTAATTTAAAATTGTAAAAAATTCTCCATTTTATTCATGGTTAACTTCTATTTTTCCATTTTCATAATGTTGACCTCCCCTTCTTCTACTTAGACCCATTAATTAAACATATTTAAACAATATAGTTCAAACTATTATTTAAAAGAAATTATTGAGTATACTTCTAACAAGAGGTAACATTTTCCCAATAAAATATTTTTTTTTCCTAGTCTTACCCACAATTCAGTGCAAGACTTTCAGAACACTTTCATTTTCCCTGTTTCCATTCCCCACCAACAGACCTGTGAAAAAATGTTTGCCTCATCCTTTCTTCCTCTCTCTGAACTCTTGGCTTTTTATGAAAAGAGTATTATTTGTGGAATAGTCAAAATTTCCTTTTAAGAATTTGTTATAGTCTGAGTTCATACATTTAGTTCCATGATGAGTTAGGCTTTGTATACTTTGTTAGGAACCAGTCATTTTTTTTTTCTTGTACGTAGATATCCAGTTGTTCTAGCACCATTTGTTGAAATGAAATGACTAATTTCCCCCCATTAAATTAATTTGAAGCCCTTGTCAAAATCAACTGACCCTAAATGTGAAGGCTTTTTCTGGTTTCTCAATTTCAATTTATTCCAAATGGTTATTCATTTATGACCAATATGTCTATCCTCTTGTCAGTACCATTCTGTCTTGATTCTTGTAGGAGCTAAAATCAGTAAGCATGAATCCTCTGACTTTGTTCTTTGTCAAGACTGTTTTACCTATTTTGAGTCCTGATTATCTTAAAAAATGGGTCATTTTATGCCAGAATAGGAAAGTTTCATGTGAATGATAAAATCAATTTGCTCATTTCTACCAAAAGCAGGTGGAATCCATAGATCAAGTTGAGGAGTACTACCACCTTAACAATATTAAGTATTCCAATCAATAAACACAGGATGCCTATTTTAATCTAGTCCTCCTTTTTTTGAACAATATTTTGTAATTTTCAATGTAGAAGCTTAGCGGTCTTTGGTAAAATTCATTTCAAAATATTTTGTTCTTTTTGATGCTACTGCAAACTTCACTGTTTTCTTAATTTCATATTTGGAGGGTTCATTGCCAATTTATCAAAATCTGCTTGATTTTTATATATTTGTATGATCAAAACTCACTGAGTTTCCCATATCTCAGCTACTTGGGAGAATGAGGCAGGAGGATCATGAGTTTGAGGCCAACATGGGCAACCTGAGACCCTATTTCAAAATAAAATATCAAAAGGGCTAGGAAGGTAACTCAGTAGTAAAGCATTCCTGGGTTCAATTGCCAGTTTCAAACAAAAACAGAAACAAAACAAAATTGCTAAGCTTGTCTATTAGCTTTAACAGTTTTTAGTGGGTTTCTTAAGAATGTTCTATATATAAGACTATGTAATCTATAAATAGAGATAATTTTACTTCTTCCTTTCCAGTATGGATGTCCTTTGTTCTTTTTATGCCTAAGTACCCTTGCTAAAACCTCCTACACAATGTTACATATAAGTGGCACAAGTGGACATCCTTGTCTTATTCTGGATCTCAGGAAATAAAGTACCCAGTGTTTCACCACTAAGTATGATGTTGTTTGTTGGGTCTTCACAGAAGGCTGTCTTAGAATTTTTAAATTTCTTATATTTGGTACTAGGGATTGAACTCAGGGGTACTTTATCATTAAGCTATATTGCCTAGCCTTTAATTTTTTTTATTTTATTATTATTATTTTTTTTAATTTTGAGGCAGGATCTCCCTAAGTTGCTCTGGCTGGGCTTGACCTTGTGATCCTCCTGCCTCAGCGTCCTTAGTAGCTGGAATTAAAGACATGCACCACTGCAGCTGGCCAATATCAACTTTAAAAAAAAAATAGTGGACTTTTTAAAAGATACACAAAATTGGAGCTTATAAATGAAGATTAAGAGGAATGATTTCAAATAAATAAAAAGAGCACATCAGATCAAATTCTGGTATTAGCAAAACTGAATAGTAGTCTTATTAGTCTAAGTTTCTAGGTATTCAAAGCATGGTATTAACTATCATTTATTCAGTGACACACATGTATCAAATGCTTTTAGAATATTATGTTGAACTCTCAAAAGAATTTACATGTTAAGAAGCACAATTTCCTCTTAGAAATAAGAAAACTGACTCTACAGGTCACATACAGAGGAATATGTGGGGTTGATTGGAATCCATGTCTATTTTACTCCAAGTTTGTATTCTTTAAGCAGCCAATAAAAGGAAACTTTAAATTCACTTGACAACAGTTTTCCAGAATTAAATTTTATAAAAATTTTGTAGTGTTAAATATGGGATACTGTGTAATATATTTAATGAGAAACATTTTTTTTCAAGGCTATTTCACATCATTTGTTGACAGAAAATGAAAATAACTGGTTCTTTTTCAAAATTGTTAACCTTAGTTTTTGGAAATATTCATTAGCTAGTATTTTGTCAGTTTCTTAATTTTTAATTTATCTATTAGAAATGGACACAATTGTATAATGACTATAATCAATAAAACTATTTCTAAAATAGTTTGCTATTTCTAAAAATGGATTCTTTCACAAAATATTTAGAAATAAATATAATATATAATATAATAATTATATATATATAATTATATATATAATATATAATATAATAATTATATATATATATAATTATTTCTTAAGACATTTCTAAATAAGTTTTATTTCTAAATAAAGCCTATGAATTTATTTTTATTCAGTAATAAGTACTTATCTATTTTCAACTTAGTAATATTTGATTTTGCAACATTAATATTTTACTAAATATTCTAAAATAGGAAATGATTTCAAAAGATCAGAGGAAGAAAATTTTCTACTTTGTATTACCTTTTTTTAGGGGGGGTGGAGGGAAGGTACTGAGAATTTAACCCAGGGGTGCTTAACCACTAAGTCACATCTCCAGCCCTTTTTAAAATATTTTATTTTGAGATAGGGTCTCACTAAGTTGCTTAGGGCCTCACTAAATTGCTGATGCTGACCCTCCTGTATCATCATCTCCAGCCACTGAGAATACAGGTATGCAACACTGTACCCCCTGTTATTATGCTTTTTGTTAGAAATAGACCAGAATGAGGTGACTTTATATTATAAAACATCAGATACATTTTATTACAAATAAATAAAACCTGTACATGTCAATTTCAAAACTAAACACACAGAAATACAAAATTTTTCTGGCTCTCCAAGCCACCACAGAAAAATCACTCTTGCAAAAACCAATTGTATCGAATCAATACAATTTTCTTTGTGTCATGATTTTCTGATATAAAACAGTACACAAATTATTAAAAGGAAATAAACTCTGATGAAGTCATCTAAATAGAAAACCACAATATTAAACTGCCAACAACTAAATATTTGGATAATTTCCAAACTGTATTATTTTTAATAGTGTATATATATATATATATCCTAATATGAAGGGGATATTGACATTAACTTTGAAAAAAATGTGTCATTCAACAGACATGTGTCACAGCTACTCTTTTTATCTTAGTGTTTTGTTTTGGTTACCTTCTAGAAGATCATCTTCATCTATGCCTTTGACGATCTTTGATTTGTAGTCTCGAATAAACATATATTTTAGTAGTCTTCTAAGCTTTTTCTATTAAAAACATGAAATAAGTAAATAATAAAACTTACATACACATTCATTTTATTTAATAAGGACTACTATGATTAATAAAATTTAATAAGCCAGTAACCCAGAATCACTGGAGAAAATACAGCAATCTATAGAACAATTCTATAAAATAAATATGTAGTCATTAAATGAAATATAAATGCTAAAATAAAAAGTAGTTTTAAAATTACCTGTCTTATGCAAGTATCCAGATGTTCCAGAATCACAATAAGTATTTTTTTGTGTGTCTTATAAAAAGTTTTAAATCCTTTTTGAAGATTGTAATAAATACCACATTTGCCATACTAACGTAAGTATCCTTATGCTGTAAAATTTTTATACACAAATTTTTATTTTTAAAAAGTGACTCATAAACATCTAGATAATGGATTTATAACAATTGTTTTAAAAAATATATGTATCCTTTACATATATTTTTTCTATCATCTGAGATCTTTTCACCAGAAGAATTGGTTTATGTATAATATTTTGGTGAAACTATTCTGTAACCTGAGAAACTATTTTTAAAAAACTTAAAGCTCATGAATGATAGTTAGATATTAATGATGGCCTTCTTCGGATTTATTAGAAAACTACAATATCGGGGCTGGGGATGTGGCTCAAGCGGTAGCGCGCTCGCCTGGCATGCGTGCGGCCCGGGTTCGATTCTCAGCACCACATACCAACAAAGATGTTGTGTCCGCCGAGAACTAAAATAAATAAATAAATTAATTAATTATTTAAAAAAAGAAAACTACAATATCACTTAACTTTAAAAGTGACTGGTAAAAGTAGCAGAATACAACAGTCACTAATATGCCATTATGTAAAAATGTGAGTGTGTAACCGATGTGATTCTGCAATTTGTATTTGGGGTAAAAATGGGAGTTCATAACCCAATTGAGTCAAATGTATGAAAGATGATATATCATGAGCTTTGTAATGTTTTGAACAACCAATAAAAAAATGTGGTATGTTTACACATTGAAAAAAAAATAAAAAAAATTAAAAGTGACTGGTAATACGTAGTAGTAATCTGTTTTGTGTTTACACTCAGAAGATATTGTGACTGATTCCTGACCTTCAGGTTTAGGATTTCTTTTCTTCTTCTTTTTCTTTCTTTCTTTCTTTCATTTTGTTTTGTGGTGCTAAGGATAGAACCTGGGGCCTTGGTCTAGGCAAGTGATCCACCACTGAGCTATATCACCAGTCCTTTTCTATTTTTGAGACAAGGTCTTGCTATAAAATACCCAGGCAGGCCTTGAACATTCAGTCTTCCCTCTTGCCTTGAGGCTCCCAAGTAGGTGGGACTACAGGCAAGTGCCAGCATGCCTGGCTCCCTCGTCCAAGATTTCTAATAATAACTGAAATGTACCACATTTTGCAAAGCTATTCACAAGCATTTCAATAGCCCTGAGACATAGACAAATATAATTATTATTTTATATACAGGAAAACAGAGGTAAAGATTGGTCTTACAACCAAAGTTCAGCATAGCCAGAAGTAGAACATAACCTGTGAATCTCAGTTTATTCATTTGGAAAGTAAGAAAAGTACCTCCCTAACATGCCTATTGTGAGGAATTCATGAAACAAGGTGAAGCTGCTTAGTCAATATGTAAAACATAGCAGTCAATAACTACTGCTTGAATGTAAACTAGAAATTATTATTATTATTAATTTTGGTACCAGAGATTGAACTCAGGGCACTCGACCACTAAGCCACATCCCCAGCCCTTTTTTTGTATTTTATTTAGAGACAGGGTCTCACTGAGTTGCTTAGCGCCTCACTTTTGCTAAGGCTGGCTTTGAACTTGTGATCCTCTTGTCTAAGACTCCCCAGTTGCTGGGATACAGGTGTGCGCCACTGCGTCTGGCAAAACTAGAAATTATTAAGAGGAAAAAACCCACCTGTCCATGGATGGCTACCCTTCTTTTCTCTTTGTTCTGATTCCACTTGGTATTTTCATTTTGTTTTATCTCATAGTTCACCTAGGTAATCTACTTTAAATTCTTGAAACATATCAGTGTATAAATAAAATTATTATGCTGATGAGAAAACTGGCAACTATCACCTAAGACCTATGTCTTTGGTTGGTAAAAAGATTCCTTTTGAACTGTAGAAAGTAGTTTCAAATGGTATATATTTCTGAAGCTTAAATATGATTTAAAATTTGATTTCCACAAAAGGGCAAGAAAAAATGTTGGAGTGGAATGTTGGATGTACTGATCTTTTGTTATTTCCACTAGTGAAACAAAAACCTGACAAAATGTTCTACAAGGTACTAATGCTAACTCTGTAGTTTCCCAGCTGTTTTTATAAAGAATCTCTGCTCTAGGGTCTCCTTGCTGCCAATAGCAATCAAGGCTTCTTCCTCACAGCACAACTTCTATGTAGTACTTGATGTGAATTTCTCCTTAAAAATCTCCCAAGTTTTAAAAAAGAGTGAACAAATCTTGCAAATTCTTACTTTTATCTGAGTTCTTCCTTCTCATTTCCAGTCACCATACTAATCATATTTTGCCTTGATTACTGAACCAACACCCTGGGTTATTTGGTCATGTCTGCAGGACTGCGAAAGCTTCACCTTAGAAATCCCAACTTCAACAAATCCTTCAGACTCTCCATCTAAATCACACAACTCTGAAATTCTGGTAAGCCTCAAAGTGGTTCTTCAAATCATAAAGATTTCTTAAACCAGAACATAATCTCTTGAGAGTGAAGTCATTATTTTTCTCCCTTTATATTTTTTATTAACTAAGAGATGATTAACTAAAACATATTAAATATTATAAATTATTTTCAAATAGCTACACTTGGAAAATAATTATAAAATTAGACAAAGAGCAGTGTGAATATTTTAATACCAAGAGTTTAAATAGGAAAAGGAGATGTTTATAAAAAATAGAAATTGTGCTGGGTGTGGTGGCACATGCCTGTGATCCCAGTGACTTGGGAGGCTGAAGTAGGACAATCACAAGTGTGAGGCCAGCCTCAGCAACTTAGTTAGCAAGGCCTTAAGCAACTTACTGAGGCCCTGTCTCAAAATAAAAAATAAAAAGAGCTAGGGATATTGCTATGTGGGTTCATCTCTGGGTTCAATCCCCAGTACTTAAAACAAAAAGCAAAAAGCAAAACGAAAAGAAAATACCTACACAGACATGTAAGGATAAGTGAGGATTAGTTGTGAGCACATTTTGACAAAAGTGTCTTTACATATGTGCCTTTCTCCCTGTATATCTATTCTGGTGTGTAAACTATAGACTAAAACATCAGTTTGATAGTTATGATTCGAAATGAAAAGCTATATAGTAAGGACACAGTTTCCTTATGAGTTCAATTAAACACCAGGACTAGCATCTTAACACAATGAAATTGTTTTATGTTACCTTATCTTTGCGCATCAAAAACAGAAGATCTTCAGGAGAGATTACTCTTGCTCCCCGCAGCTGAGAAACTTCAGCAGCTTGCTGTAACTATTAATAAAGGAAATTTAGGAATTTTTCTCAGTAATATAAATTAAACACAGTATAATTATGATTTCTTAAGAGAGATAAATATACTAAGAACTAAAAACCTTTGGGAGTAATTCAGCAATCACATTATTGCTTTTAAAAGCAAAATACCCTATGTTTTAAGATATAAAAAATGCAATTAAATTATGAGCCCACCTGTAACTGATATAATAAACAGAAATCCTTGATTTCTTTCATGCAATAGAAAAAAATCATACACAGCTTCCAGAAATACATTAATGCACCTGAAAATAATTTTATGAAATTTTATCCTTCATACCCATGTGAGCAATGGTTTCACTCAGTATCACTAGCTGAATAAGTATATTATTAATCTGAGCTCCCATGCTGGTATGATTTGAAATAGCCCCATTCAGAACTTTAAAAGATCAACAAAAACAGTAGCTGTTTCTAATAACCAAAGGAAAAAAAATACTTTTAGTTTTGGCAAGTCTTCAGTGAGGAAAGGATTCAGTCCATAAATCATAATACTGGACTACATTAATTTCTTTCCACACTAATCACATGCACACAAAAAGTTAACTGTATCTGGAATGCACAACAACACGAAACATACTGCATGAAAAGTTAGATTCCCCTTGCAATGCTCATCTGGGCCTTTATATCTACAAAGTCAAGTTTGCAGGAATTCAGAAGCCCTAGAAACACAATCTTACTTGAAACTGACCTGGAAAATAAAAGAATGTGAAAAATGATAGTTCTACTTTTTGGCAAAGACAAACTCAGTTTCTTATTTTGATTAGTTAGAAGGAACATAAAATACATCCATATGAAAAAAATAAAGATGCTGGAGAAAACACTACAAAAATGAGCCTGTAACTTCTTCCAAATATGATCAAGCCATGCTGATTACACTGAAGCAACTTTATCCAATATGAAATATTATAAACATTTTATATATCAAAGCTGTTCTTGAATGCATTCTTCTTTAAAAGAAATAAATCTAATACATATTCCTAAACTAATCTTTTAAAAGTGGCACTGTTATCTTAACAATTATAACAAATTAAACAGTGCATTTGTGCTAAGGAAATTTAGTTTCAATGTTAACACAATTTTACTAAATAAGCTTCAAACCTTCTCTAAATATATAGACTACAAAACAGACTATAAACTCCTTATTGTCAGATTTACCACTGAATTTCCTGGATACTGGTGGTTGGTATAATAAACATAATCCTACCTAAATATAGAAATTTAAATTTAACCATTTAAAAAGAAATCTTGGGGAAAAGGTTTTTTAAAAGATGATGTATCCATCCAAAAATAAACTCAACAGTCTTTTTTTTTTAAGAATGTATGAACATACTTTTTCTAAAAACTGGAAGTGTCAGGAAAATATGTATACATATCCTTTTTCAAATACAAACATTTCTATCAGCTAAAATATATGCAGTCAGTGTGTAGAACAACATGGGTTTGCATATCCATTTGGCTGCACACACAGAGAGAACCAGGAGACAGCATTGTACATTAAGTAACTTTTTTGTGTTCTTAAATGTAATGTTCTTGAAAACTGAAAATCAATACGTAGATATAAGTAAGTTCACTCATGCTAAGAAAGGATCAGGAGAAATATGTATCCCCCAATTAATAAATGGTTTGCCCATACTACATATAAATAATCTCTATTACATTGTTTAAAATGTCAGTTTATAAAAATGTACAAATGTGTTAAACAGTACAACCAGAAAGATAGTGAAAATAGAAAACAAAGACACAGGAGAGTTCAACATGATAAATCACCTTCTCCAAAGTTGTCATGTTTATCAGCCAAAATTTATCTACCTGATTTTCTAATTACTCTCAACTAATAAAATACTCTTACTAGCATTAGCACTGCAGCACTCCCTAGAATGCCCAGGGCTCTGTCTAGTTAGTATGCCACTGGCACTGAAAGTTATCACTAGTTTATCTTACCAGGGCCTGTCCAGTTCTGATGTGTCCCATGCTTCAAAATTACTCTCCCATGAAGTAATTTGACCTTTTCTTCTCTACCAAAGGAGGGGATCAAATGGATTAGCTAAATAAAGTATCCACACCAACATATGTATTATCATTGGAATACTTCTAAAAATTTCCATGTACACCTAGCAGCAAGAGCAAAACAAATATAACAGCACTATCTTACAAAACAGATTGGCAAACCTTAGGGGACCTTTAACCTATTGGATTCTAAATTGCAATGCCTACAAATTGTTATTCATCTTAACTGCTAAAATGATCTCCCTCAAATATGGTGTTGGATTATATTATTAATGAGTATATAAGCTAGGCATTAAGATATTTATTAAGCATAATATCCTAAGTTTTTAAAGTTAATACTTTTTTTGGTTGTTAATGAACCTTTATTTTATTCATTTATTTATATGAGGTGCTGAGGATCGAGCCCAGTACCTCACACGTATGAGGCAAGCACTCTACCACTGAGTAAACTCCAGCCCCATAATATCCTAATTTAACTGCTATGATGACTTTACTCAAATATCATCTTCAATTCTTATTTGGAGATCAAAATAATTCACTATTATCTAACATAAGAATGGTCTTTACCCTGAATGACTCAGATTTTCCCTCTATATCTTCATTCCATTTTTTGTTTTCCTCTCATATAATTCCACATTTAAGCTCCAATAATTTCTGTCTGTGTATTTATGATGGTTAATTTTATGTGTCACCTTGACTGGGCCACAGGGTGTCTAGACATTTGGTCAAACATTATTCTGGGTGTGTTTATGGGCATGCTTCTGGATGAGATTAACGTGAATCAGCAAATAGACCATGTAAAGCAGACTGCCCAGTTTTAGCTCACTTTCTGATGCTGTAATACCACAGGCGAGGTAGTTTATAAACAATAGAAGTTTATTTGGCTCAGAGTTCTGGAGGTGGTGAAATCCAAAAGCATGGTGCTAGAATTTGGTGAGGGCATTCATTCTGCATTATAACATGACGGAAAGAAAAGTGAGTATGTACAAGACACAGAAAGGGTGGGGGCCAAACTTATCCTTAATCTAGGAGCCCACTCCCACTATAACTAGTCTACTCCTGCTATAATTAATCTACTCCCACGATAAGAGAATTGATCCATGAATGAGAGTAGAGTCCTCATGGCCTAGTCACCCCTATAGGCCCCACCTCTTAATATTGTTACAGTGGTAATTTTAAACATGAGTTTTGGAGGGGACATTCAAACCACAGCATCGTTCCTAAGTGGACAGACCTCATCCAGACAGTCAAGCATCTGAATAAGCTTAATAGAGTAGAAAAGGCTGCATAGGAGGAAATAGTTTCTGCCTCACTGAGCTGGGACGTCGGTCTTTTTTTGCTGTGTGCATTCACCTGAAAGAAATATCACCTCTTCTTGTGTCTGGAGGCTGCCAACTTTCAGACTATGTATCTACAAGTTGGCTCTTCTGGGACTTGGCCTCTATAACGGTGTGAATCCTAATATGGTAGTATATTCAAATTATGAAAATTCTTGATTCTTCTTAAAAGATGCCGCATGTTCTTATTAAAATATAGGCTTCAAAATAATGTTCTCAAAGAAATTAGAGCTACAGTTATCTTCACATAACAATGTTTATCACATACCCTAACCATAAAATGTAAATGCTCAGTGCACAATCTTTTAATTGTACTTGTTACCAAGTTTCTTTTTTATCTACCTCAACCAGCTTCCTAACACTCCCATCTCCCAATTCCCTTTCAAGTAAAACTTCTAGGTCTAGGACAACAAATCCCCAAAAGGCAGTTTATAATTATTTGCTAAGGGTCAGCGACCTACTTTCCCCTCCAAGATTTTCAGTTTTCTATCTATAATATAAGGAAGAGCTACATGAAGTCCATACACTTATATTGAAGCTGGGGCCCACATAAATTCAGCAGACAGATTTCTCTAGAGTTTCATATGGTTTTAAATGTACAACAATTAAGCTGAAAATTCCGCAATTATTAAGACATTGAAAATAGTACATCTCAACAATGCTTCTGTGGTATATCTCTTTTCTTTATGTTTTCCCCAAATCCTAGGTCTTTTCCTTTGTAAAGATAAATAGTGAAAGACAGGTGTTGTTTCATTATAATGAAAAGGTAGGATCTTAGGTTAAGTTATTGTCAGATCTGAATTATTTGTCTTTCTAGCCATCTGTCCATCTATCAAGCATAAACTATCTAACCAGGGTAGATTCCAGCCTGGGCTATGAAAGGACAGTCCTGCTTACAACCATATTTACCAGCCACAAATAACCTCAAAGGTCCTCTCTGAATTTTCCACAATGTGACTCAAGAAGTTGGAGTTAAAAAATATATATATTACAACTCTGGTTTTACTATCAAGTAACTGCATACATTTAGATACAGTGAGTAACTTCTCTGGATTTGTAGGTTTATGATTCTCTTTCATTTAAAACAGATACTTTAGGACTTGAATGACTCTTAGAATTAATAATCTTGGTATAATAATAGCTAGTATATATTGAGTACCTATTTTTCATTTTTAAAATTCTAACTTGTTATATATGACAGCAGAATGCATTACAATTCATATTACACATATACAGCACAATTTTTCATATCTCTGATTGTATACAAAGTACATTCATACCATTTGTGTCTTCATGCATGTACTTAGGGTAATGATGTCCATCTCATTCCACCATCTTTTCTACACCCATGCCCCCTTCCTTCCCCTCCCACCCATTTGTCAAGTACCTAAGTTGTACTAGGCTCTATGCTATGTGTATTATAAGTATTAAGCTTCCAATTTTAAAAAGTTAGTATCTAAGGTAAAATGTATATAACAGTAAAAATCAAATAATACAATAAATTTTTTAAGGACAGATAGAAGAACCTTGCCATATTTCTTTCCAATCCACAATCCTGCTTTCATCAGCAAACATTTTCAACTTTTTGAGCTTGTTTTTGTTGTCTACATATCTGAA